CATTTTTATGCTTTATTAAACATTTATGTCTGAATTTTGGCGGTGGGGCTTGGAACGGATTAGGGCATCTACTGACAAAATGTTCTAGTTAAGAAATTTCTAAAAAAAAAAATCACATTTTTGTTATCCACCACGTTTACTGATGTATTCTTCGACAATTATAAAAAATGAGCACTGATGTATCTTAGCAACCATAATGCAGAAGTGTGGTGGGTGAAATTCTTTTTCCAAAAAGTGTCTGTCTGTTTCCGATGTGTTGTTGTGCTTGATTTGTTCCCCTCTTTGTAGTGGTAATCGAACCTACTAGCTCGACACTATTGCAAGGTTAGTATTCCGCATAGACGTACCGTCCTTACAGCATGACCTGATACTGCCATTTTCACTAACATCAGTTGAAGGCTTTTTGATTAAGCTTTTATTCAATCAAATGACATACTGTGTTTGAATTATTTATGGCTTGACACTTGTGTGACAACCAGATGTCTTGCTGAGGAAACCAAAGACAATCGATAAGATAATGTGTCTCTATTTGTGAAAATGGTCAATGTCAGCTGTTCTTATTCTAACCATCTTTCATCTTTCTCTTTTCACTTTCAAACCATCCCCCAATTGTGACATGCCTTTTCTTGATTTTTGCATGCTGTCTTTCCACTGTAAGTATAACTTATCTTCATGCTTATTCTGTTTGTGCAAGACACCATAATTTGTGTGTGTGTGTGTGTGTGTGTGCGCGCGCACGCGCGCGCGCCATGGTCATTATAGTTTGCCATTAATCTTTTTATGATAGATTTTGACTTTTGTTTACAAACTTTTTCAATGATTTCCTTTAGTTTATTTTGTATTAGTTTTAGTATCAGTTTTTATTTTTATTCATGTATTACTTTTGTATTTTTTAACGCTTTTAGTTGAGTTTTCTTAGTTTCAGTTATAGTTTTAGTATTAGTTTTTATTTGTATGTATATGTGTTGTATTTGTTATACAGTGGTACCTCTACTAACAAACGTCTCTTCATACGAAATTTTCAAGTTACGAAACGCCTCAACAGGAAAATATTGCCTCTTGTTACGAAAGAAATTTCAAGATACAAAAGGTAAAAATACAGTGTGGGCTGCTACCCGCAGCTCCGAGTTTCTTGAACGCAACATAATTAGAACTGCTCTGCCATTGGCTATTGCTGAGCATCATCCTGGCTTCTCATTGGCTAAGAGGGACCTCTACCAAATGTGTTTGTGTGTGGAGATCGACAGAATGTGTTGATGCGTCGTCCTCATCATTCGCCCCTTGGGCCATGAGGTGTTCCGATAGTTTTACATAAATGTGAATCACCCAGAAAAAGTGTTCACCAGTCAGGCGATGGCTTACTATGCTGATGTTTGCCTTGGACATGTTTGAAGGATTGTTAAAAGCCGACAACGTCCTTGGATAAGTTCTTTGCAAAACGCCAGGTAAAAACCACTTCCAAGAGAGAACATGAACTAAAGAGGGAAAAAAAACGATGAAGACACAGTTAAAAGTTAAATGACCATCATTTTTATTCTTTAATCTATTCTTTGTTTTTTACAGTATGTACAACTGTCATTTATTGTGCAATAATCTAATTGTAACATGTATTTATTACATATTTTGATGCATTTTTATGCTTTATTAAACATTTATGTCTGAATTTTGGCGGTGGGGCTTGGAACGGATTAGGGCATCTACTGACAAAATGTTCTAGTTAAGAAATTTCTCCCAGAACCAATTAATTTCTTAAGCAGAGGAACCACTGCATTATGTTTGTTGAGCGCAGTATTTAAAAATAGTCACTAAGTACTGTTTAATAAAGTAAGGTAAACTACAAACAACCTTCTTTTCTTCTGTAGCTACAGATGTACAGTAATAATTACATTTAAAACAAACCCGGAAAGCTCATGAATGATATTACAGTATTTATCAGTTAGTTGCTTTGTACACTCCTCAGATCACAATCTAAATTTGCAAAACAGTCTGTAAATTTCTCAAAATAATTCAGAAAAATGGCAAACCATCATGGTTCCACTGCCAAAGCCATTTTCTGTTTCGAAATCCCGAGGACATCTCTCAAAAGCAAATATTTGCGTCATTGGATGTCATGGTTTTGCTCCTGAACTTCTGCTGGAGTGGAGGGCGTTCCTTCCAGCGTCGCACCTGTCATGAGTTGTAATCAGTGGGCTATTTAACGACTACTATTCTGACGACTCGCTGTTGGATTAGCTGGCCTGCTGACAACTCATACCAAATGATTAATAATCTTCTAGACGTTCATGATTTTGATCATTCCGCTCTTGTTCAAGTAATGGTTTTTCCTAGTGTAGGTAGTATTCAAATTACTTTAGCTCACTTGTGTTTTCTCTTAATCGGATTGCCTTGTCTTTATATTACCCCTTTCCCACTGCCGCAAAACCACGGGTAAACACGCTTTTTTTGGGCAGTGGGAAAGGCTCACTGGCCAGTGTCGATCCGTGTCTATCAGCACACCATCGTAGGCGGGTTGTGATCGCCTCCGATTGCCTCCGCTTGCAGTTTGAAAGCCTAACACGGGACTTCCCGGTAATTACGTGATGACATAGGGCGGTATGTGATGCGTCATAACATCGCGCGCCATCGGCCTCGTATATAGCATGCCCCCACAACAAAGCTAGGAGATTGCCCCTTAAGGTGTTCTCTCAGTAGTAGCAAAGAGTTGATCCTCCGCTGCTTTTTGACCATTTTGAGCTGGAGTCCCCAACCGCTGGTCCGCGGACCGTTACCGGTCCGCAGGGCATTTGGTCCCGGGCCGCACAGAAAGAACTTGCCTTAATTCCGTTTTATTTATTTCGGAATACGAAAGATGTTTTATTTTGAAAAATTACTGGATTCTCCGTTACATCCGTCTGTGTCACGCTTGACACACGTCAAGCCACGCTTCTCCGTCACGTGACCGATTATGCTAAAAACAAAACGCCGGAGCTCACAAAATGAGTAAAAAAACTGCTGGAGATTGCAAATGATGGCGGCCTTAAAAGTATGTTCAAGACAACTGGATTAAAGTTATGGCTGAATACTCTTGAGATCGCCACAATAGCACTGTTGCTATTTCCGACATCCTACCTGTGTGAGGTGGGGATTTTCTGCAGCAACGGTGGCTAAAATTAAATTACGAAGTAGACTGTACATAAACCACGCACTTGAGGTGTCATTGCCTCCTATTGCCCCGAGATGGGACCGTCTGGTTGCAGAAAATCAAGCTCGGGGCTGTGGTGAGTCGTCATTTTCATGCACTTTGAACTTGTGTTATATCGTATTTTGAAGGCATTACACATGACCATAGTGTTGCAGACAGATTAGACTCTCCTTGTTTATTATTATATTTCGAAAACACCACAGTTTTCATGCAGCTCATACCATATTATTTTGTTGTATTATTTCCGCCACACCTTAAATGCCGGTCCCTGAAAATATTGTCTGACATAAACCGGTCCGTGGGGCAAAAAAGGTTGGGGACCCCTGATTTTGAGGACGGTAAAAAGTATGACAAAAGAAAGAACACTCGCTGCCATGTTGCTTTGTTGTTGCTTTGCACTATCATCTACGCAATCACAGCGTGGTGACGTAACGAGACGCAAAGTGGTGGAAGGAGGGGGCGGAGGCGCAGAATCGCCTTCTGTTGGTCAATGGGAAAGGGACAATATGCCAAATTGGTTGCGTGTCGCCATGGATCACTACTACCCACTAAATTCAGTGGGAAAGGGGTATGAGTCACATTTCGTTATTTAGTCTCCTTGCCATTTGCAAGTGCTTTGTGTATATTTATCAAATAATAATCTTGATATTTTACAAAAAATATTTGTGATTTCTGCTGTAGTGTTCAAAGTATCTGTCATATAAAATTATAATTTATGTGGAAAAAAATACACACATTTTGAATGATGTATTTTCCACAAGCTCTTAAAATTACAATTATCAAAGCGAATCACAATGGGATGCAAAATAACAAAACCACACAACAATTTGTGAGACCTCACACTCAATAATAATTTTAGAATGCAAATCACATTTAGTTTTATAGCGCAAATATGCAATTGTTTTGCGTTTGGTCTGACAGTGGCTGGGTCTCGGAGACCGCAGCCCGCTGAAATTGACACTGCATGCCAAAAATGAAATAAATGAATGAAATCTTGTCAAGGTGTTCTAAAACAAGACACCACCACCCCATGTAGTGGTTGAAAAAAAAAACCTTCATGCTGACATCTCTTCCTTGTCCGCATGCTCCAAAAATCCATTTGAGGATGTGAACTGCATCTTATGAAATCAGTGAGAACGGAATTGCACATATTTTTCTTCTGTGTAAACACAAATTTCAGCCTTGGACGACTTAAATGACAATTATCTTTGCCGGCCCAGGTTCCTCGCCGTGGTCGTCCTCCGAAGCCCACAGCCTCACTTCAGCGTGTCAGTGTTGAGTGTCGTTCTCCCACTCATGTCTCACCTGTTGCCTCCTGCCCGACTAGTTTCGCCTGCACCACCAAGAGACGGACTGCGTAGTCGTTGTGGCAGGCTAATTAAACCCCGTGTCATTTTGATTGTCCTTCGGGGCGTTGGGGGTTTCTGGGCGTTGGGGGGTGGTGGACACTAGGACCATGTTTCTCAACCAGCAGGTATACAGTAGGGGGCGTGTTCATATGAATGTCTGGCAAATTTGTAATTGTTTCAGATCCACTCGTTGGCAGTCGTGGAATAAAGATGTGTTCACAGTCAGTCGTGTGTGCTCCTTTCAACTGGCACAATATATACTTAAAATGTCTCGGTCAATATTTCATAAGGGACAGCGGTTACCACAATGGACAGCCTATCAGGTTACAGGTTATCATTATTGGTGCATGAAAGGGTTAAAGTTACGTGTGGACACGGTATACCACTGTTGACATATTTCAGGACCACACTGGAAGTACAAGTGTTTTTTTTTTTTTTTTAACTCACTCTTTGTGCTGTCCGCCTCTCAGGATCGAGAGCAGTTCAGGATGGCAGTGGATCTGCACTGGGTGCGCACTTGGACACCTACCTCCTCACCATACTGTTTCTGCCCTTTCTGCTCAAATTTTGAAGAGGAATGGATTTCACCAAGTTTTGAACGTTTGAGCAAAAATGACATTTGTTTTTTTCAAAATCTGCAAACGTACTGATGCACAGCAGTCCACAAAGTTGCTCTGTTGTGATGTTATCCCATACATGTGATCTAATTTTAGACAGTTGTCTTTTTCTCTTTGAATTACCGTATTTTCCGCAACTATGCAAATAAAACAATTAACTGCAATAAAACAATTAACTAACTGCAATACACAGCAACAATAGCAACAACAGCAACAACTAATAACTTTTTTTAACAGTTCATGCATATTTTTTTCGTGTGCTTGTAGCACATGGGAATGCCACATGCGGCACACTCGTTTGACGCTCTCAGTGCAGCAGAGTAAAGCCGACATTGTCGCCTTCTTTTCACGACATCCTGCTGAACTGCAACTGGCAGCTCACCTGCAGAAAGTGCCTGTGCAGCTGGCTGTGCACTTTGGTGGGGCCTCTGACGCTCTCTCCTGGATATTTCGGGCGAAACAAGGGCCTTCGCCACTTCCAGAAGAAAAAGCCGTCTTTTGTACAGTTTCTGGCTGTTCCAGTCTGGCTTGATTTGTGCAAACAGCACAAAGGCATTGAATGCTGACACGTCGACCATGTGCTGGAAAAGGCACATGGGCCATCTCTGCGCCCGTCGCCGACAGGAATAATTGGCACATGCCTGCAAAAAACGAAAAACAAACAAAAAAACATCAGCTTTGAAATAAATCTTTGAAAAAGACAGTACATGTACTTACGTTTACCTGGTCCAGGTGATCCACCACTCCCTTGCTGCTGTTGTAGTCGAGGATCATCCTTGGTTTGTGTCTCTCTCCCTCCACCACCTCTGGATCATGGTGCTTTGTGCTCATAAGGAGCACAATTTTGCCTTTTTTGGGGATGTACGATACCAAAGTGCACCCCCTTGTGAAGGCAAATAGGCTGAATGAAAACAAATAAAATAAAAGTTTATTCATATAGCGCTTTTTACACGTAAAAATGCAGCACAAAGTTTCGATGATAATACAACATAAAACTCACCTTGAAAGTGGCTGCCTGGTGAATGACCTCAGGAGCAATGGTGGAAGTTTCCCTTTATTTTTTCGGAGAGTGCCCACCAAGGTGATCCTTTTTTTTTT